ATCATCGTATACATGGTTCGTGGCAGGGTTTATTTTTGGTTTTATCGGCTTAGTCTGTATGGCTTCGCTCGATCGATCAAGAGGGTCTCATGAGGATTTTTTTATGCACATGACTATATTTTAGGTAATGTTTATGTTAATAATATTTCAAAAGGATCAGCTGATGAGGTAACAAGCTGAGTTGGTGTTTGCTTATGCTTGGCTTGTTGGCTCATTGAGCTAAGCTCACGAGCCACTTATTGAGTCGTGCCTGAGCCAGTTATTGAGTCAGCTTAGTCACACTATTTTAAAAAATTTTAATGATGGTGTATGTAAATTTTTAATATTTCTATGATAAAAATTTTAATTTTAATGCAAATAGAAGAAATTATCATTTAATCATGGTGTATGGATTCAATTTTTTAAGGAAGGGCTTTAATCACCTAGACTTTCCTAACTATAATATCCCTGGTTATATTAGAACAAGAAAATTCTCTATTGCTTGTGCTATTCCTACAAACCATAGAACTAAAATGATAATAGCTTCCTACATATGGGGACAAACTATCACATATTAAATTATGCTCAATGGAAGAGAAATTTAAGTCATAACCAAATAAGAATATATTTTATGTTCAGATTATAAATTATGTTTGATTTGCACTTTTTATAGACTTTGAGTTATGTTTGTTAAATTTTATTTGTTTTCATTGTTGATAGATGTTTGTATAATACATTTTGCAGCATTTTTTAGGCTTCTCAAATTTACAGATGTTTGTATAATACATTCACTATTGCTTGTGTATAATACATTTTGCAGCATTTTTCATTGTTGATAGATGTTTGCAGTATTTTATTTGTATAATACTTTTTATAGACTTCTCGAATTTACATGTGTGATTTACCTTGAAGCATTTTTTTATTTATTTCCTAGCATGTTATATTACTTTCTCAGCATGTTATACTGCTCTTTCTAGCACGTTATACTATTCTTTCAGCATGTCATACCGTCTTTTCTTTCTACTGTGCACTATATTGTTCTTTTCTTTTATACTGCATGCTTAGTTATTTTGATACACACTATGCCTTAGTTTAGGAAAGAAAGCCTAGTGGTTGTGTAGGATTAACATTAAACCTGGAGGTGCTACTACGAAAAGCTTAGAGCGAACAGTGTGGGCAGCACAACGAGGAACAACTTCAAGAAGGATCTATAACATCAAAACACATCACATGAACACTTTACTTAATTTAAATAACAACTCATAGGGCTTTGAGATGGTTTGTCTGGTGCAACGTAAACCCTCACATATCACCTTTTTAGGCTTTTGCGCAACCATGTTGTGCAATTATAAATCATAATACTTTATGATTCCGAGGTTACTATACGGTACGGTGTAAATCCTCCTATCTTTTTAGACTATTTGTACGATTAGACATCGTACATATATAAATCCTAAATTCTAAATAAGTGGTAGGATTCAATATTAAATAACATCATTTCAAAGATATAAAGCCAAACAACAGGATATTTGGGAAGTCACCGGGGTTTCTCCCCGGATCTGTGATTTCTGATACTTTTCTTCCCTCTGGATTCCTTAAATAAATGTTTTTATTTGTTAGTCATATAGAAAACTTCTTTTTTTATCTGATGATTATGAAGTCCCTCACTCACTAGATTATAAATTATGTTTGATTTGCACTTTTTATAGATTTTAAGTTATGTTTGTAAAAATTTAATTATTCATTTAAAATTGAAGTTGAGGTGTTAAATATATAAATACATAAGAATCGAGAGATATGTATGTAAGCCTTCCAAATAATTATGACAAACCTTTTTGTTAAATAAAAATTGCCCGAATACATTTAAAAAAAAAAGTTCAATTGATAATTTTTTTATTTTTATTTTTATAAGTCTGCTGAATTCATATTTGTTATCTACATCATACTCAAGAAATAGAGAGTGTTTGATTTAGGGAGAGGGAGAGAAGCAAAGAGAGCAACAAGACTTGCCCTGCAAGGGCGAAGAAGGGTTTGATTTACATTTATTGCAAACCAAATTCTATCAACAGCCGCCTTCACAGTCTCTGTGTCGAACACAAAGAGAGCAACTTTGGACTTTTTGGTACCGAGGCCGAGGGTGAGAGTGTGCCATGCGTGGTGAGGGAGAATGGTGAAGTTGGTGGGAAGGTACATGGTTGTGGATGGGAAAGGGAGGCCATTGGTGTGGCTATGATGGGAAGGTGAGATGGCGTGGAGACGGAGGAGTTGAAATGCATGTAACTCTTCAACAGCAAAAATCCTTTAAGAGAGGATTGTACATTGCTACCATCCATCTCGAGTAATGGTTCTTATTCCTTTCAAAATTTTCAGCGATCCCTATGAGCAACAGATGTCCCCCGGAGGAAGAACTTTCAATGGACCAGCAAGCTCTAAGATAACTTCTTTTTTAAAATTTTCAATTTATCCCCATTCTTTTTCAAGGAAAACTTTATATAGCCGTTGAGCCCAGCAGCTAAAAATAAAAAGTCCCTCACTCACTGTATATAGAAAACTTCTTTTTTTAAACATTTTTTTTAGTCATATGTCAAAATACTTCATTTATTATCTCCTCTCTTCTCTCATCCACCATAATCACACAATCCTCTCTCTTTCTATCTCTCTTTCTATCACCATGAGTTCTTCCTATATGAATTCAAGTCATCTTCCCCAACATTCATCTGATGATTATGAAGTTCAGTTGAATCGTCTTTTCCAATATTTGTTTGATGATGATGATGTTTGGTTGGATAATCCTCCCCAAAATTCGTTTGATGATGATGAAACTCTGTTGAAGAATTTTTTAAAAACTCCGCCGTACATTTAACTTGATGCAATTCTCCACGATCGGGTTTTATATGTTTATTTATTATTTCTTATGCAATTTGGTTCTAATGCAATTACCCATAGGAATATTGGATGCTTCCTAATTTACTGCTTCGATTTATCGTTTTCTTGCCATCTAAATTTGCAACATTTTTTTATAATAGATAGCTTAGAATAGCTTCCAGTTTTCTTTGTATACCCACCGAATTCCTATGTATTACACAACAAACACCTAAACATTTTTTTTCTATTTTATTTGTTTGCTTTTATACCTCAACAATATTTAATATCACATAAAAAATACCTTATTCTTAACTTTTATAAAGTGAAAACATATTTTCATGCATAGTATAAAATGCGAATTTTGTCAATACCTTATTCTTAACTTTTATAAAGTGAAAACATCTATAATAGAACTAGATAAAATGCGAATTTTGTCTGCTATAATAGAACTAACAATTTAACAATCTAAATATTTTATGTTGATTGTAACAGAAATGTCTTTCCGGTCCTACTATTGCTGACAATGTCCTCGATTTCGACCATGAAGACGATAGCTTCACTGAGCAAATCATCAACCAACCAGAACCTGATCACTATAAAGTTCTTCCCACAACCAACAACATTCCTTCTGATCCTCCAATGGCTGCCACTGTAGACATCCCACCGACAATGCATAACTCCATTGCCGCCAGTATACCTTGCTATGACCACAGGAGCACACACACAGGTGCCCCAATTCTCGGCTTTGAACCCCATTCTTCATACACCATCACCCCCACAACACACAACAACGACCCTCTGCCCTGCTATCACCCTTCTTCATGTGCAGTCCCCACCACTGAAACATAAACCTATTATGACCCTTCTTACATCGACCCCTTCATAGAAACCAGCTCGTTAGCATCACACATCACACCCACAAACACACAACTTTGCAAGACTACACATAATGTTCACACTCTCCTCAACTCTCGACCACCACCACCATCAGTTCTACCAATGACACCAATTTATTTCACAAATCAGCTCAACCAAGTCATTTCTGCTCCTCCTGCATATCCATCTTACTCAATAGCCCCGGTTGTACGCCAGATGGCATTGAATTTACCAAGTTGTCAGGCCATAAACCCATTTACATTAAATCTATGCTCTTTCAATGATACTACAAGTGCATTTCGTGGGTTGCATTATAATGAGGGCACATGTGCTATTTTTGGGTCCTTTCCTGATACAGGAATGGTGGCGAGACAGTCGGAGGCTGTGGAATCCTGCAACTTAGGAATATACTCATCTGCATCCATGCAATCAGTCTATGATCCAAGAGATTTACAGGTATATATACATGCATCATTCATAAATGCTAAGTTTTTTTATTTAAATTATAATCAAAATTTCTCTGAAGTTGTTAAGGGATTGCAACCAACGAATGGGTGGGTGCAGCACGTGCACGACTCCATTAAAAGTGGCTGCTAATGATTTTTCAACATCAAGGGAATCAGGTTTAAAGGTTCCCAAGTTAACATTAGAGGAGAGGAAGAAGAAGATAAGTAGGTACAAGGAGAAGAGAAATACAAGAAATTTTAGAAAAAAGATCACGGTAAATGTGGCTGCAAAGTTTTCGAGAAATGTTTTAATTTCAGAAGTTTATGTTACAATGTCACTAACTTGAAACAAAATGTTATAGTATGATTGTAGGAAGAAACAAGCTGATAGCAGACATAGAGTTCGAGGTAGGTTTGCGAAGAATGAAGAAGTTCCTCAAGTGGCGTTGAGTCCACCCGGATCTATCGATCATTAATTTGATGATGATGTGAAAGAGTATGTTATGCGATGCTCTATCTCTTGTGTTATTTTCTTCTAATCATTGCCAAATTAAACAATGCATGTGTTAAATATAAAAAATACAAAACTTTTCAATCACTTATAGATGAGTAGACAACAATGCGAAATAAAAGTTAGTCGATTTAACTTTCAAATCTAAATAATATGAAGAGTTAATCAGACATAAGTCTTCAATTAAAACTACATCAATATAATGATCAATAGATTCACAATAGAAGAAAATATTATTCTCATGTTCTCTTCTCAACTAAAATTTGCATTTCTTCGTGATAATATTTTTTTAATAGAGTAGAGTAAAAAAAAACATGAAGATTATTTGCTTAATGCAGAACATGAATACAAGAAGAAATTTTATATTGTTTATACATAAAAGTAATTTAAATATGAGATTTCTAAATATTTTTCTCTGTTGACTTCAACTTGCAGATAGTAGCGAAGCAACAAGAAGAAATGCTTCAGCCTTCTACAATAACTATTCTCATAAAACATGTTTATGTGTAAGATCATAAAATAAGTTAAAAAAATCTAGATGGTATTCCTTCATGCACATTACTTTTACAATAATCTATTGTGTCGTATGCTACTCATTAAATAAATGTTGTTGTTGGTTTGTATGTTATTGTAATTTGTTTTGAGTATATCAATATGAGGAATAGATTTAATCTTTGTTTAGCTTAGCTGCTATATTTTTTTGTTTTTTGAACATTAAAAAAAATTCAAATTAAAATTCACATAGATTTTTTTGGCCTGACATCTATAATAATGTATGATATTTTTTTATGAACGAGTTTTCTTATATTAAAGTTGAATTAATATCTTTTTTTGAGATCTTTTTTGAGCTCAGGATTACAAATAAAAAAGCAAAAAAATTGAGAATAATAATCTAATCAATAAAACTTAATTCTCAAAATCTTCTTCTTTATATATTATGATGCGCATATATCTTTTCCTCAAATTCTCATTAAAAAATGAAATAAAAAAAAAACATGTATGCGGTCACTCATTAGTTACATAGATCCCATTGATGCTCCAATCTGTGCATAGATCCCATTGATGCTCCAATCTGTGCATAGATCCCATTGATGCTCCAATCTGTGCATAGATCCCATTGATGCTCCAATCTGTGAAAGATATTACGGAAGTTTGAGCTTCCTAAAAAGAAAACATTGTTCTCATCATTAGTTACATATTTAAGAAAGTTTGAGAAAACACTCAATTATGAAATATTACATGTACTTGTGTTTATTCAAAATTTATCCAAACTTAACCATAATTTCTTCCGATTAACATGTTTTGTGAATTAATTTGACTATTCCACCCACATAAATCGAATGATTTAACTGGCAAAGTAAAACTAGCAAATAATGTCAGAACCGTAAGCATAGTTTCTTCCAATTTAAAATATAATTTAAAATTTTTAAATAATATAGTCGCTTTAAAATCAAATCATATAATTAGTTACTAAAAATAAAATTATTGAAGTTTCTTTAAGATGAACAGAATATGAATTCTTGATATTATGTCTATTTTTTTTAAAAAAAAATCACTAATTTTTAGAACGTCCTGCTAAAATCCAATAAACGTTGGTAATTCGTGGGGAATTCAGTTAAAATCATTAAAAAATTCTATCTCGAACAGAATCAAGAAGCAAAGCCGTTAGGATTTAGGAAGAAACCATCACTGCAAGAAACAAATTTTCGCCCCCAACAAATTCATTTGGCCATTCAAGAAATCAAGATTCGCAAATTCCAACAATGTAGCATTATACTTTCTGTTCCAAAAATCACTGGAAACAGAGAGAGAGAGAGAGAGATAGAAGTCATGAAGAAGCTTGATTCTCCTCCATGATTACCGGCGACGATTTACATTTGCAAAATGCACAAAAAGGGGATGGTTGTGTTGGAATGGAAAAGCTTTTAGGAAATGACAAAGGCTAAAAAATAACTTATGGAAGAAGCTTCACTCTTATTTAACACCTTAACTTGGCTTGATACAAACTCAAAGACTCCACCCCTATTTATACTAGTGACACCTCCTAAATTAATGGCTAAGATTGTGCCACCACAATTACAATCCAATGGTTACAAATAATTCCACACCTACCACACAATAATTCAACACCTAC